ATTTGGTGTGTAGAAGGTGTGCGGAAGAGGGGGTAGTCTTATACGGCGAGTATATAACAAACTCTGTATTTTGAGTGGAAATGTTAGGGGGTCGTCTTATACGCCCAGTCGTCTTATACGCCGGCAAATACGGTACTCCAATGTGTCTGTATTTTTCCCTGTATCTGTTTGTTGTTTTGCATTTTGCTAGAGGCCTTTTCTTTATTTCCCCATCAGGGCATTCCTAGTCATATCATAAGGCCCATTCAAATGACAAATCCTATCTAAAACTTGCTAGTTCCCCTGTCCCATTGGGAGGATTAATTCCCTCTCTTGTGTATGCCCATATACCTGATTCATACCTCCACTGTAAAAATGTATTCTATTAGCACTTTACAAGCTGGTATTGAGGTTCTGTGGTGATATGTTAAGGGAGAGGATCAAAGATAATTCTAAGGGGAAGACATCATGTTCACTTAGAATCATCCAACCCCTACAAGGAGTAAGATGTTTCACTGGGCCAATCAACTCGGCCTGTTTTTGTTTTGTTTTTTAATGACTAAGTCCCAAGAGATTCTTGGGTCTCCCATGCTAATTAGCTTCTGGTGGAGGGCCCCACTAGTTTTCCAGACCTGCCTACACATGACTGACAGGGAAATGGGAAGAAGAAATGGAAGGATCAGGCATAGAAAGAAGGGCACATTGCTGTGGAGGTACCAAGATGACAGTGCCACCAGGAGGAGGTGCTTCCCGGGCATTGGAAATGCCCACCTGAAGCTCAGCAGAGGGCAGAAAGAAATTTGGAAATCTTGAGCCAAGAGACCAAAATTAAATCCAGGATAATAAATAAGATTACCTCAGTCCTTGGAAAGACCACCTGTGTCTGAGGTAAAGAAAAAAGCAGATGAGCCAGGAGTCTTTAAAAAAAGAAAAAATCAGGGAGAACACCAGCAACTCTTCAATGAGGAGCTCCAGGAGTAGGGAAGGGTCATGAAAGTCAGTTGTGACAATGGACAATGGGAGAGAAGCAAATCTGACAGTTGGAATTGTGACCTTTGATAGATTTCAGGGGAGAAAAAGTAGGAAACCAGGCCGCAGAGGCTTAATGAGTTAGTAAACGTTAAGACAGTTCTAGTAAATGTTGGGAATGTGGTAGGGAGAAAGAGAAAACCAGAGATTGATCAAGAGTAAGATCAAGAGAAAGGTTTGTTTGTTTTTCCTCTCCTCTTTTCCATAAAATTCCTTCTTTCTCTCTCTCCCTTCCTTTGTTCCTCTCTTCTTCTTATTCTTTGTTCTTGTTGGTATAGAAAACATATATATTCATCTCTAAATTAAATGTGTGTAGGCTGAGAGGAATAATCCAGTGAAAAGCAACAAAGTGGTGATTTAAAAAGAGGCAATAATTGATAACATAAAGCCCTGGCCAAGAGCCAGTAGCCAAAGATATGAACTTCAGAGAGAAATAGAACTCCTTACTCTGATAAGAGGATGAAATGAGGTAAGAATTGTAAACTACTAAGAACAGTGCCTGAAATACAAATGTTTTATTACTGCTCAGTAAATATGAAGGAAAGAAAAAAAAGAGGAAAAAAATGCAGCGATGATGCTATTAAAATCAGGCTTCATCTATAAGTAATAAGCCTTTATTGCTTGAGGCATTTACTTCCTTTTTTTGGTCCAAAGTTAGTCAGAAAGCTGATCTGGGGAAATAACCTCATCTGTGCTTAAGTCAATAAGATAAATACAGAGGGAAAAAATGGTTGATTATGAACCATGAAAACTCAGCTTTGTGTTTAGAAAATATCAGTGTTTAGGAAACAGTGGTATATGTCAAATATTTTGGGGCAAACAAACAAAACATTGTTTTATGTGTTACATGTGAAAGCAGTGGCCTGAAAAAATGTTCCTTCATCACTAGATAAGCAGTATCATTGGTCAGAGGGATAATTATGCTTACTGCTTTATGAAATTGTTTTCTAATAAATTTTTAGTTCACTGCTGCCATGTTAATTGAGTATGTTTTAGAAAAGAGAGGAAAAAATAGAAGTCAGTAAATTGATAACTATCACTATCAAGCACCTGTTACTTGCTTTACACATTCATAAGCAATTTAGCTGCATGGCTTAATGTAATTTTAATAACACTGAAGTAGATATTATTAGATTCATCTTATTCCTGGGGCTAAGAGATGGTACCAAAGATCATATATCTACACTTTTGCAGAGCTAAGATTTAAAGCCAGATCAAACTAGATATTTGACTACTATGTTACATGTTTCCTACTGGCAACTAATTATAAAGCTATTAGTATTGAGATATTAATTACAAATAATTTTTCACTTGGAAAAGATGAAATTTCCTTATATCTATATGATATAGTTTGAATATTAGTTTTTTAAAAATTTCATGAGAAGATAGGTACATGAAAAATTGAATATATTTCTGAAATTATAAGAAAGTAACTGAAAAAATTTGGCAATGATTGCATGGATTAATACTTACATTTTGGTAGCTAATGTGTTAATCAAAGATTTTATGGATTTACTTATTTATTTTGTTACAAAATAGAAGTGACCCTGAAAAAAAAAGTTAGATATTCAAGAAACATTTGCAAAAAGGAACAAACTTAAGCCCACTTTCATAGTGCTTACTTTCAATGACATTCAGAAGCATTCATTTTTAAAACTTGATTAGGTATATTTAAATCATACATGGGATATATACTCCTTTTGTTCAGTCAAATGATACAGACACAAATAGGAAGCTAGTACGTAATATCCTTCACACTTTCACGCTTCTACACTGACTAAGCAATTTTGATGTGTATCTCACCACATATTTTCTTCATTCATATTAAAATATACAAATATATATATAAGGATAGGTTGGATTTCAAACTGTTTCACATTAATCTGCTAGTGCATTTTTGGTTTTACTTAAATATAATGTAGATGTTCCTCTAAGACAGTGGTTCTCAACCTTGGCTGCACATTAGAATCACCTGGGAATCTTTTTAAAATCCTGATTTCTGGGCCTCATCCTCCGGAAATTCTGTTTCTTTGTTACTAATGTTGTGGCCCTACCCCATCACAAAGAAACAGAATTTCTGCAGGATGAGGCCCAGAAATCAGGATTTTAAAGACTCCCAGGTGATTCTAATGTGCAGCCAAGTTTGAGAACCACTACTCTAAGACAATAATTTACCTCTTAAGCAGTGATTCAGTGCATGCTACAGATGAGAATCACTTGGGGAGCGTAAAAAAAAAAAAAGGAAATTGCCAGAGCCCCACCCCCCTGAGATTCCAGTTTAATTGGCCTGGGTGGGGCCTTGGCATCAAGCTCCCCAGTTGACTCTGATGTGTAGCTAGTTAAAACCACTGATTTAAGCAATCCAAACCGGCTGGAAGTGCCGGCCCTCTGCGGAATGGTTCTGGGAAGGCCCACCCCTAGGAGAACAGCCTCAGTGCTGATTGGGGAGACTCTGGGACGCCCACTTCAAGGCTCCTCAAGAAGACTGGCTCGATAAGACATTTGTTTTCACTTAAATCATGTTAGGAACAGTCCCGTAACTGCAAAACGTGTCACCAGGGCCAGGGATTTCAGAGGCCACCGAAGTAACCGTGGGCTCTGCTGGGCTGGTTCATTCCCTGAGCTGACTAAACTCCAGAGATGTGCCCTTGCCTGCAGAGGGTTCCTGAGTGGCCCATCGCAGGAAGCCGCACCCAGAACTGGTTTCTCCCTGCCTGGGAGAGGCACCTCGCCGCTGAAGGAACTTGTTCAGCCTCCCCGGGCTGGCCCGGGAGAGTTTGCAGGCAGCTCCATGTGTCCGACTTGGTGAGCTCTTTGCTAATAGCCGAACATGTGGATGGTCATTTCGTCTTCTTCACTCTCGCTCCGCATTTGAGAAACTGGAAGATAGAGGCACCAAACAGGAGAATGATGGAGGCTTTTGCTCCGCTTTTAATTTTGTTTCTTGGAGACCAAACAATTGGCAGCCAGTGACCATTAGGTTTCGGCCTGCATTATTGCCACCATTGGTTCTGCCTTCAACAAATGCTCTTCCCCTTTTTCAAAGCACTTAGTTGGTCAGAAGTTTTGAGAGACCAGACAGGTTGTTGGAATTTAGGAGTAAAAACAAACAAAAAAAAACCCCAACTTTTCTTTTTTTGTTTTTTAAAGCTGTGAGTTTCAGCCGTGGGCAAACTACTGCCCGCGGGCCGGATCCGGCCCATTTGAAATGAATAAAACTAAAAAATAAAAAATAAAAAGACTGTACCCTTTTATGTAATGATGTTTACTTTGAATTTATATTAGTTCACACGAACACTCCATCCATGCTTTTGTTCCGGCCCTCCGGTCCATTTTAAGAGCCCATTGTGGCCCTCGAGTCAGAAAGTTTGCCCACCCCTTACTTAAAACTTTTAAGCTAACGGAGTCTGGCAGGTGAGCCACATTCTATTTAATGAGGGAGGGAATCAATGTCAGGGAGTGGGGGAAAAAAAGACTAAATCAGAACTGAGCTATTTTCTCAGTTTCTTTTCTAGTTCTAAAACAATAGCATTCAACGTTCAGATTTTATTCCTTTACGCTCCAAAAAATAATTGCCACGCGTTGCAAACCTTGGTAAATGGGTGACTGGTTACACAGGTTTTCAGCAAAACAAGAATGAGCCCGACCGTCAACCGCAGCCCATCTGTACTGTGAGGTGAGGCCGGGGCCACCGGGGCTGCTGCTGGGAAAGCGGCGGCCCGGCCCACA